CGTTCGATGCCCAAAGGGTCGAGAGACCAATAGGCGGGACATTCTGGCCATCGGAACGAGGATGGGCCAATTCGGAAGTCCTCCGTCGGACAGAGAAATAGGAAGCCTGAAGGAGTGTCTTCCACAATCGCCGAAATGACGATTTCAAACCGGATACCCTCTATGAGAGCTGTGTCAACATGTTGTCAGAAATTATCGACAATGACGGGTTGAAAGTACCATAATCGTCAAAGTTGGACGTAATTTGGAGGCGGCTGAAAATGTGATTCGCTTGACTGAGCCAGAACTGTGGGTATAAGAAGCTGGATAACGAAATGGTCGTGTCTGACACTTCGCTAGAATTTAACCTTGGACATATTAGAGGACATCACCATGCTGGCAAGATGAAGAGGAATACCGGGTCCAGCCGTCCTCCATGATTTGTTTTGCCATCCCTGACCGAGTTTCCCACCACGGAGAAAGAAATGGCGTATTCGGCAGCCAGGCAATTTCAACAGAGTCTTCGAGCCGATCTCTTGAAGGACAACAGATGACTGCTCCGAGGTTGCGGGTTATGGGGGTGGAAATGTTGGTATATCGAAAGTGTCCTAGAAAATGATAACATATATAATGATAATCTTCTAGAGTCAGAGATTCAATGATCTCGGCCTCTGTATTTGGTGTATTCAAGGAATAGATTCTCTGTGTTCGCACCGGGAGCGAGTCTAAATAGATGGGGTTATCGTTGGCTTGGCCAAGGTCCATGCAGAGCCGGCCACTTGAACGACGTATCCACAATGCATATTCCCACCAGGACTGGATCATTCAGGGAGATGCGAATCCAGACGAGTGGACTCACCAGATTTCGGCGGAAAGTGAAATAAAAGTGATTATTTGCTGCCTGCCCCTCGGTCAGAACACAGCAGGACGGACTAGGGTCAGGCTTCCTTACCTCGAAGTCATCGCACTTTAAAGTAAAATGTAAAATAAATTGAGATGGCGCAAATGGGAAACCCATAAGGACATACACAATAGGCGTAGGTATATACTTTCGAGAAATGGGAATGTTGGAGGTCCACGAAATACTTGAAGGGTATCAGATCTATTTGAAGCATTAACAGTGAATATATATTCCAAATCGAAACACTCACCATCGTGGAACAGTGTCGCGTGTAAATCACCGGTATGCGCTGCGCCGCGGATCTGGAGAATGTTTGGGTGGCTATGGGGGTGGTTTGATGGCACCGGCAAGTAGTTAAAGCATTGCATAGCACTTACCGAATCGACATATATTTCGCTAAATCTTGTCGCCACTCCTGCAGGACTGTTGAGATGCAGCAATAAAAACGCAAGATGTACCACACCTCCTCTGCGCCAGGTCCCTGATAAATGGCCACGGTGGTGTTTTGACCTCCGAGTCTGGCGGAGTATAGACGACGAACACCCTGCCGTTCGGATTGACGATCAACGACACCGGTGCTGCGGACGGATATTTCGCGTTGAAGGTCTATGTCCCCCACTGGGATCATCCTGAAGTCTGAAGAATATTTATTATATCTTCACATGATGCATGCGCGAACTTACCGGATGGGACAGCCGGAGTTGTGTAGTTTATGGTATTATTGGTTAATGTCTGTCCAGTCACAGTGAGATTCTGCGCGCCGGAGAACATTCCGCTGCTATGGCTGGATTAAGCGCCCATGAGACACGAGCTGAGCCCGACGCTAGGGTAACGAGAACTCACGAGCTTGAGTAAGGCTGTCTGAAGGTCGAGTTCGAGGTGAACTCGTCCGCTGCAGGGGATTCGTCGTCCATGGATGGTGGGGGAAGGGGAAGAGATGCTAAGCGCCCGGTGCACAGCTGTCGTGCCATATCCGGGAGGGATAAATATAAAGAAACAATTGTTGGATATCAGCAGACACGATCTATGTGCACGGCTGTACCTCCTTGTGTCAGGTAGCGCCCTGCCTGCCGGCTGAACACGATTCGCGCTCCTGGGCCGGATGCGACAGGGCGTACCGCTCCCGCCCCGTGCGCCAAACGATCCCAAATCAGCACTCAACAAAAATATGTATACGTTATCACCCCGCAGCCGCCGACGAGTACGGTCATGATCAAAATGAACAAAGAGAAGACATAAAAGAAAGACAGAAGACAAGATAAATACACCGGTGCGCCAAAAGAACCCATCCCACGACAGAGTGATCCGCGTGCATGTGGGTGGCACTTGCAGCCCCCGCTCGTCTCATCTCTATGAGCGCCTGAGAAAAACAGCGTGCCATCCTGCCGCCGTCCCAACTGAGGACGGAGCGTGTGCGTGATTCTCCGACGCGCACAGGAGTTATCCATCCATTACTACTGCGTCTCCGTCCTGGCGCAGGGGAAAAGGAAGGAGGGAGTAGGCGCGGCTCGCGAAAGATGCTGCTATCGTTCCCGCTGGTACTCGCAGATACCCATACCGGAGATGAAGGTGCAGTAGAGCACAGGACCGGTGTGCGATGCTTGCGAGACACTCACGGAGGACATGCACCGTACGCCATCCATGCTACGATGAAGACACCCCATCGTTCAAGTTGGCGCCGCACCCGCAGACAAGACAGGCAGGCAAGACAGGCAGGCACGATGGATAGCCCAGGGCTCACAATCGCCAAATAGGTTCGATACCGCATCGTGTTGTATCTTCAACGCGGGCGGCGCACACCAATATGTGATTTCGATATGCAAGATTTAGACAGCATGGTGCGAGTGGTCGAATACGGTACTGCATTGCATGTACAGGCTGGTCCCGACATCTGCGCGAACTGAAGCCGAGTCGAAGAGGCAGCACACCTTCTGCTCCAAGGCCACGGATAAACGCTTGCGAAACCTCTGCGTGCAGCTGGCATGCCTAGTGGAGGGAGTGCTTGTGGAGTGTCGCGCTCCGAGACGACTTGTGAGCCTGGCCGTGCGCCGAGTCAAGTCTGTGGGACTGAAGTCCACTCTTCGGGACAGAGGGAAGGCATCGTCGCGCGACCGAGTCTGAGACACAGAGTTGACGTAGAAATAACTCTTGGTAAGCTGAGCTGGAGGCGAAATGAGCTCACTGTTCCGCCCTCACGCCCGGATAGCAAACGAAGACGCCCATGCCATCGCATCTTGTCGGTACTCTAGAAACCCAGGGTAGGGTATCAGCGCATCTGCAAGTATTGGCGTCGTCGGATAGAAGTCGTACGCAAGCCCAGATCCAGATTCCTTTCGCGATTCCTGTAGAGCGTCGGAGCACCTACTCAGGATGTCACTCACCTGGCAGAGGGACCACACTGGAAGAGAAACAGAGACTCGCTGGAATCGCTGGCATATTTTCTCCAGCACGCCCTTCTCCTCGTCACACCCACATTCCTTAAGCCGCCAAATTCTTTCCAGTCGTGTGAGGGTAAGAGCAGAGAGTGATCATCAGATCGTCATCATGATGCATCATGCCGCATGCGTCCCGAAAAGGCAATCAGCGGCTCGCCTTTCTCCCACCCTCTCCCACCTCGTTCTCAGTCACTGTCTCTGACGTTCAACGCAATGCATCGCACTGGCACAACTCTACTCAAGCCCCAGATTCCTTCTAAACCGCTATATCTGGTTATCCAGCCGCATCGATTCTCATTCCTCCGTCCCTCGATCGTCATCGGCTGTGGCACCGCTCTTTGGATCTACATACTGTTATTTTGCCTTATAGGTAAGTATCCGGGTGCCCGTGCCCAGAACGACTTCCATGCCAACATCACTTCTCCAAATTCTTCACTTGGGAGCAAGTGACGATATCGATCCTCCCGCCTTGACTCATTCTTGTTCTCTTGCCGTAGTACATCCCATAGCCACCTTCCATGTACTTCTTGCCTCGTATTGTATCTCTCCTCACGCAAATCCCGAATCCTAGCATATGCATGCAGCATCCGTGCTATCAATCTAGTCTGCATCTGCCACGGAAGCTCTGTCATCTCACTCTCCTTCTTGTCGTTTCAACGATCATCAACTCTGCTTGGAGCGCCGAAGTCCTTACCCCTGAGACATCCCTCCAGCGAAACAAACAGGGTTGATCGCCTCACTACACCAGCTATGTAATCCACCTCTCATTCAATACATTACCGATTCAGAGGCGGCTTTGGGTGAATGTGGGCCTTGCCTAACTTTAACCCAGGAATCCGCAGCTAACTTAGCTGCGCCCGAAAAAAATCAGTCTAACCAAATAATGCATCGTGGCGAATCGAACCCCGCTCTCGACCTATCAAACCCGCGTGAACATTCCACATGATGGTCGTGGGTTGCCAGAGCCCCACTGATGCTTGTATTCAACTGACAACTATGGCGTCGTCAAAATCCCTTATTCAATCTGATTCATGAAAAACCTCCAGCACTTTCTTGTCAATTTACCGAGTCGGCCGTGGGCCGAACTTCAACTTCAACTTGGGAATCATAACTAGGAGAGATAAAAAGTATTGGGCCATCTAATACTATGCATCGACCCGGTCTCAACCCATTATCTGATGTGGATATGCATCACATGGGAATTGTGGGTCCCAATACCCCCGCTGCGTACAACCTCCTGTAAGGAGGCTTTTCAGGGGCGACATTCAAATCGAGTTATCTTCCCGCTGACGAAATTCGCGGTTATTAATTTGAATAACCGATGGTGCGTGAAGATCTTGTGCTTGTTCTGGGGAGCCTCATGTGTTGAGGAAAAAGTAGAGTGCATATCGCCTAATGCATTGGCGGGAGTCGAACCCCGATCTCAACTGGGAAAAATATCAGTCCGTGCATGAGAAGTGTAGGTTCTAATATCCCACGGTGCAGCCTGCAGCAGCGCTCTCTCGTTTATTCAACTCAGCTCATTTATTCTCCCCATTTAATAGAATCATCTCCCTCATTCAAACGAGCACTGGGAGTCTCAGGCACTACATAAATGCCGGAGTCCGGGTTACTTCCATGGGCAAAACTTCAACCCAGAATCGTAACTACTCAAAGCAGGGACAAAAATATAAGCTTGCCATTCATGCATCGACGGGGAGTCGAACCCCGGGCTCGGCCCATTAATTTCGAGAAGATTCTACAATGAAGAGGGCGTGGGCTGTCCATGCCCCATCGATGCCTGTATTATTTCACCAACGATGCTTCATTTTTCTTTGCCCGCTGACATGCTCAACGAGTTGGACAGACAAAAACTGAGGATTGTGTGCGTACATCCTCCAATACTTTTTTTCACTTCTCGCATGACGATGACATAAAATAAAACCTCATAAATAAACTGTATTATGTATCGACGGATCGTGGCCTATAAGTTCTCTTGGATGTCTCCATTATGGAGAGGCTGTGGGCACCCAATGCCCAACTGATGCTCTCACCGCACGCTAGTCTATTTAATCGGATTCGTTTTCTCTGCCGGCTGAACAACCTCCGGCACTCGATAAAAATTATCAAGTCGGCTGCTCCAGTCTTTACTTCGACTTGGGAACAAAAAGTAGAAGCGATTTTGCTTTACTTCACAGGCATCAGCGGAGGAATCGAACTCACCTGCAGTCGGAAAAAATACCTCAGGCTTCCTGGGCCGGCCGGGACATATGTAACTTCCGTGCGTACATATATATCGGCCGACGACACATAGCCTCAGCTGATATCTCAATTTTGGGTGGGATAGTCAAATAAATTGTATTTTGCGATTAAGAAAACGAATGAAGCTGTGCTACTTCCCTACCTGTGCAAGGAAGTTAAGGAACTAAACCAGCACAAGTCAGAAAGGCGCCGAACGAGAGCACAAGAACCAGAACCCACGTAAGCGCCAGAAGCGAACTACACAAAGATATAAAAAAAGCTTTGGTCGCGAAGTCAGTGGGTTCAACGACTGAAAATTACTCGACGTATCGGCTAGCATGTACTTGGAAGATCGGCAGGTAATCCTGAGACATGATTAATAGTGTTAATTTCGGTATATACAAGGACTCGAGCAGTGAATGCAGACCGCCATGTTGATCGTGTTGTCGAAATATATTGAAGCGGCCAACATCACGGGGCCCTTGAATATCAACAGAGAGTAGGGGTCACCCTAGCGCTGCGGGGGGGAGGGGTTAGTTCTCGCACTATTCTTTTGAGAGATAAGTAGGAACGTTTGATCGTTGCGTCAAGATGAGGAAGGGAAGGAGTAGGATACTAGTATGATGGAGAGCAGAGAGTAAGGGGAAGAGGGCAGCGCAAAACACACCTCATGATAAAAACCCTCCGGTCTGGTTGAGGAACTCGAAGAACTTTGTGTATTAGGTCTCCCTATGCCACAAGTCCATGTCGGCGATTTTAAATTTGGACCAGACTGTGGATGAGTGCGTGTTGTCAGATTGGTGTTTCGGCATTTAGAGATGGGAGAAAGAGGGAGAGGAAAAAAGGGAGGGTGGGGGGAGGAGGGAGGAGAGTGGAAGGAGGGTGGACTGGGGTGAGGGAAGGGGCACGAATGTGGATGTGGGTAAAGAACACGGTGGGTGTGGAAGGGGAATCAGTCGAACGTCGGCATACGATGCAAGTGCCTAGCCGGGGCGCGCGAGTGTCGGTGTCCTAGGGAATGGAAAAACGCGGAGCACATGCAGAACCGGGCATGAGCACATCGTCCCACCTGCGATACCTGGATCTGAGCGTGCTGCTGACGGAGGAAGGGAGGCACTCGCTTGTGGAACATACGCCGTCTGCTGCCACTACACCGAGTAGCGCGATGCCCACCCCTGGAGCGTAGGCGGCACGAGACGCATCCTTTGGCCCGCCACACGAGGCGCAGATTCGGAGATGGATATAGCGGGGGATGGAGCACGCAGCCTGCCAGTGAGTACCAAGGGAAATTGAGGTCGGTAAGTCGGTCCCTTCTTGCCTCTAGATCTCCAGTGTTGGTTCCTGCGGGTGGTCCGAGTCACTGTGAGCTACGATGCCAGTAGCGAGTGACGTCTTGTGAGTAGGGGGCACAATATCCGTTTTCAGATAGAGAGCCCAGCCCAGTCAGAAAATCGGAGGATGAGCGCGATGACAGAATGGTTAGGTGGCGATGCACCCACGGATCATCAACCGATCATTCGGCTAACTCGTCTTGCTCTCCGAACGCTCATCCCGACTTGCAAGCCAATGTCCTCTTACATTCGTGATCTACAGCCGCTTGTCTTGATTATTCTTTTGAACCCTGCAACAACCCAGAAGCCTAAACCTGCTGCCCGCTGCTTGTTGGGAACCCTCTAAGTCAAGAAATCCTTCCTGTACCGCTGCATCTATCAAAGTTTCTAAGATATCCAAAAGCATTCTATTGTTCTTCATCATGTGCCTCAATTTCTGATCCTTTTTCACTGACTCATTGCCGGATACTCGTCACACGTCTTTTCAACGCTCACCGCGCACTTTTTGAATGAAGACCAGCACCCGGCCACCCTGAGATAGGCGGCGGCACACTTTCACGCTAGTTACATTCCGTGAGTACGTTGCAGTCCCTGAATTCTTGCTCTCCCTCGCTGCACGGCACCGCAGAGGCGACTTTCTTTGCTGCTGTGCCACCTCAGCCTCAACGCCAAACCAATAACGATTCCGCACTGGGGCAGACATGCCCGCTCCCTTTGTCGGCCCGCGCGCCATCCAAGTTGGTGCTGGTGCATCTACTGCGTATGCCGCCTTTGGAACGACACGGGTGGGAACGGAAATGGATTGTGGGGCATCGGGCGACTGCTCGGGACAGCGGGTCGATGAGCGATTCACCTGGGAAGCCAGAGATATGGGACCTACATGTGGTAGAGGGTAATGCGGGAAGCAGTTGAACGGCTGCATGATTACTCGAGGTGCGGGGGAATTCACTCGCGTGGCACGCTTCCAGGTGAGACCCACTCCCGTTCCTTTTTTAGCATTTTCAATGTGTATTCTAATGATTATTCTGTGAGAATGATGAGCCCGCCCTGCGTACTCGAAAGTGCACTCTCACCACTTCTCGCGCCAACCTCATTCAGCTGCGCACGATCCCTGTGCACACCCCGAGCATCGTCGCGCAGCCCTGCAGTGCACGTGGATTTCTTGCGTAGCCGTCTCTCCGGGCGTCGATGAAGCGGAATACGGGATTCGAAGTTGCACATCCCTCGCGTGCCCCCCGCGGAGTTTTTTCTTCCCCCGCAAAGATCGAAGGACGCGCACCAGTATGCCAGTATCGAAAGCACGCATTCGCTCTTCTCCTTTCTCCCCTCCCGCGCCGTCCTCGCCTCTCTGCTGTCTAAACTCTAATGCGAGCTGCGGCAGCGTTACAACACTCCTTTCGTCATTCTCACTTCTGCCACGCATATGCAACGCCGCAGTGCACTGGTCACTAACGATGGAGAAGGAGCCTCCGCGACTCCGTGCCCCGCTCAAATTCCCACTCACCGACTCGGCGCCGGTCGTGGGAAGGACGCAGCTGCTTTGAGGCATTTGCAGGCTGCAAGCGGGCGGGTATAAATGCAGACGCAGTGTCCTGAAAAAGAGGAGCAGGTGGAATGTGCCTCATCGCGGGCCGCGGAGCGTAAATTACAATAGTAAAAATCTTCGAATTCAATAAACCATGCCTCAGGATGTCTCCGTTTGACTATGTCTTGAAATCGGGATCCAAATGACAGTAACACTCCAGATAAAGAGCAACTGAGCACGAATTAAATACTTGAGCACCAGGAAACACACAGTTCAGTCCTATATAATACGGATGATTCGTTTGAACTTCTTTGGCTGACACTTTTTGAGGACGCTGCAAGATTATTAACCAGGCATACGTCCAGTCAACGGATTTGACCTACCATGATCCTCACCAGCTGAGGTCCATACTGAAGTCCTGATCATCATCTTCTGCACACACATCCTCGTCGTCCAATTGCAGCATTTATCAGTCAATTTGAACGAGGTCTTTCCGGATGAGTGACTCACCATGGGCAAATGGAACGTCCATCTCATTGGACAATTGCCATAGTGGCTCACCCAGATACCTGGCCACGTCCTGGCTGTCCGGATCGAACCCTTTGGCCTTGTGGAATTGCCGGAGTCCCGCGTATACATTGGCGTCCCAAGATCTTGTGACGCCTGTGGTGTTGAGCCGGAGAGACGGAAATCCGAGCTCGGTCGCCTTTTCTGCGGTAAGGCGTTCGACGCCCAAAGGATCGCGAGACCAATAGGCGGGACACTCTGGCCACCAGAACGAGAATGGGCCAGTTCGAAAGTCTTCCGTCGGACAGAGAAATAGGAAGCCTGCAGGAGATTCTTCTTCGCTCGCCGAAATGACGAGCTCAAACGAGATGGAGGATATGAGAGCTGTGTGCACATTTTCTCAGAAATTCTCGGCAATGACGGGTTGAAGAGTACCATAATCGTCAAAGTTGGACGTAATTTGGAGGCGACTGAAAATGTGATTGGCTTGACTGAGCCAGGACTGTGGGTATAACATATTGGATATCGAAAGGGTTGTGTTTGACACATCGCTAGAGTTTAACCTTGGACATATTAGAGCAGATCACCATGCAGGCAAGATGAAGAGTAATACCGGGTCCAGCCATCCTCCGTGATTTGTTTTGCCGCTCCTGGAGGAGTGCGCCAAGGTCCAAGGCAAGGACTTGTATTCGGCACCCAGGCAATTTCAACAGAGTCTTCGAGCCGATCTCTTGAATGACAACAAATGACTGCTCCGAGGTTGAGGTTTAGGGGGGTGGAAATGTTGGTAAATCGAAAGTGTCCTAGAAAATAATAACATATATCATGATATTGTTCTAGAGTCAGAGATTCAATGGTCTCGGCCTCTGTATTTGGTGCATTCGAGGAATATATTCCTTGTCTCTGCGCCCAGGCGGAGTATAAAGAGATGGCATACTCGTTGGCTTGGCCAAGGTCCATGCAGAGCCGGCCACTTGAACGACGTATCCAGAATTTACATTCCCACCAGGACTGGATCATTCACGGAGATGCGAATCCAAACGAGTGGACTCACCAGACGTCGGCGGAAAGTGAAAGAAAAGTAATTATTTGCTGCCTGCCCCTCGGTCAGAACACAGCAGGACGGACTGGGGTCAGACTTCCCTACCTTGAAATCATCGCACTTTACATTAAAATGTAAAATAACTTGAGATGGCG